CTTCGAAGGTTACTTAAATGGCAGTTAATGTATCATTCAATAATACTTTTTTAAAGTAACGTATTTTAAACGAAAATGTAATGTTGTCAAAAAAAAAAACAAAAAGGAAAAAGAAAGACATATTTGAGTACTTTTATTAAAAATGGTTTATATGCATTTTAAAATTAAATAATATATCTATATATTTATACTATTGTAATGTGAAAAACCTAAGATGGAAATAAAAATTCGGATAGAGTAAAAAAAAACGCATCTATTTATATACACTAACAAAAGTTACTTAAAAAAAGTCCCGATAACAAGTGAAAAAACAAAAACGTATTTAAAAAAATGTGTTACCAAATGGGTACCTAATTGAGCATACCAAAGGAGGGAGTTAATATACAAATCCATACGAAGTAACCATCTAAACACATCTTCAAATCACTATGATACGTTTAGGAATAGTTTAATAATTGTGTCTATTTTTTAATAGCTCAGATATTTCATGTTCAATTTATTCTCATATCCCTTAAAGAATAGTCATCACTGTCCCTTGAAAACATACTCTAGACTACTTCAAGCAACGGTGGCCAACCACTGACAAGTGAATAATTGATATAAACTTGAACACCTTATAAAAAAAAAATTCACTATGATACACTAGCAACAAATAGTATGGCCGTCAACTTAAGTTTTTTTTTTTTGGAAGAAGGGATAGGAAACTTGAATTTTTAACCTCAAAAAGACAAAACTTTAAAAAGATAAAAAATACCATTAACCAAATATTCGTCGGTCATCAACCTAAGTCAATTGAAGTTCTTTTCATAATTGTAAAGGCTTGTAAGCTACCATCCATCTCTCTCTCTCTCTCTCTGAAACAAGTTGGACAAAGAAACATCAACCACAATAAAGGCTATATGAATTGATATATCAAAGTACAAGCGACCATTCTTACACATTCTTAAGGGCAGAAATATGACGATCAAGTGACCACCATCACTAGGGGATGTTACCCAGTACTCAACCTTAATGTGTCATCTAGCAAACGTGCGTTAATCTGGATTATCCATATGAATCTACCCTTGTTTGACATGAATATAGCAAGTTAATTTATTTATTACTCGAATTCGTTAAATGTACATTTATATCCAAATAACTGTATAAACATGTTTACATGTACAAGTTTTTTTTTTTTTTTGATTCAACAGTCAAGAGATATTTAGACTAGTTTATGCATACTTCAATTAATTTATTCTTTAATTCAACCAAAAACAGATCATCCACGTCGGGAGTAAAATATATACACAAATTCGGGAGTAAAATATATACACAAATTCGCCCTAGCTGGCCACTTCAAAATGAATGGTGCGAATGACTTCTATCAAAGCATCCGAACGAAAGTTAAGCAAATTATTGAGGTTGAAGGCCTCTTGTACTTAGATATTATTAATTAATCGATGCCTTTCATGTGCTACTCACTAATTAATATTACTTAAACTCAGCACTCGGACATTACTTGGTCCCCCCCTTCCACATCTCTGATAATTGATTTTTCCTTTTGATGTGTCCCATCTCCAATAACTAGACTCCATCAATTGGTAACTCAGCATTTAATAAAACCAAAACAAAATAAATAAATAAATAAAATTGAAAAAAAAATGCATGAGAAATTGTGTAGATATAATGTTGATTTATATTCTTGGTGTATAATATTATAAAGTAAAAAAAAAAAACAGCTGAAGAAATTCATGTCTTTGTGGGAGAGAGAATGGGATTGCATTCTTAATCCATAAGCCTCTTTTTTTTTTTTTTGGGTAAAGGCTTTTAGCAATTTTATGAGTGTTCAAGTGATAATAGAGACGAGTTTTAAGAATTTTAAATTTGAATTCTAGTAACTCTTCGAGGTTAGATTGTAAAAGATTTGTCTCTTATGAATATTCTAGCCTCGGCATAGATGACTTGCTTTTGATCATACCAAATAAAAGATTAATCGAGATACGCGTAAATTAATTTGAACAACTTTGATTATCGCGAAAAGAAAAAGCTTTTAGCAAAATTAATGTTGTACCCAAAAGTGAAGTTCGTGGCTGAGACTAAAATAAAAAGAAAAAAGAAAAGGAATATAAGAACAGAAAAAAGTCCATTCCTAACGTGTTTCAAAGCCCAAGCCAGAACCCATCAGTATGTGCACTGCAAGTTGCACTATTTATTTTCTGGCCCATGTAAAATTTACATAATAGTTGGTAAGATAAGATGAGATTTTATGATAATAGGGCCAAACAATTGATGGCCCAATGCCTACGTTTAAAGGGGTTCTTGCACATTTGCATCCTTGAATGCAATTTTTTTGATGGGTCACCTCAGGTTCCCATTGGACTACTCATAATAGATTTGAGCTCAAGGGCACAGGACCTTCAATTAAAGGATTAATCTACCCTATTTAAATACATTCTATTAAATCGTAATGTAAAAAACTTCTTTGCATGTTGCATTTTTTTGGTTTTTGAAGTTCTAAAATGTTGTATATGGAATTCTAACAAAGAAAAACCCCTATGTATTATTCAAAAGTTGTACGGATAACACAAGTGCGCATTGCTTAGCCACATGATGAACATGTTTTCAGTTAATTGCGTGTCAAGTGCTTAAGCGGGACGTGCATAATCACTCATTCCTCTCTTGTTCTAACCCTAGTAAAGAGGTTTAGATCTGATTCTACACTACATACAATATGAGCAATACTATATAAATTTAAAAATTAAATTTTATAATTATAACCATCTTTCTGGGCCTCACTAGCTCTTTGCTTGTTTGTACAAGGAGCATGCTTGAGGAGGCTAATTTTTTTTTACTATAAAGTGTTCACACATGTAACGACTACTTTTTTGAACTTTGAAATGGTCATTGTAATTTAAGAATATGTTTCTTGAAGAACAAAGATAACTGACCTTTAGGAGGTGTGAAAAAATATTGAATCTAAAACTTGTTACTTACACGAGGACATACTTAACCACTATGCCACCTTTAAAAATTACTAGCAATGCACCTCGTGCGTTGCACGTGAATAATTTTCGTATATAAAATTTAATAAAAAATTGTATGTATATTTGTACCTAAATTAAATATTATCTTAAGTTTATAAAAATTATGTTTTTATCACTCGTATTATACTATAGAATTTGAAAAAATTTGTCTGCTCCTAACGGATTGTTATTCTACTTATATAAAAAAAAAAGATAAAAATAATTAATTTTGAAAGTTTATTTGATTAGGTTTGAACTTATAATTTATTGAATAACATAATAATAATTGTCAATATTCTAATTGATGTTTATTTTTAAGGGTAACATAGTCAATTAAAAAATTTCATTGATATTGATATTGATACATAAAGAATAGTTAATTAAAAGAAATGTTAGAGACAATTGAAGATTTAAACACTAAGGATATAATGGTAATTTAACTATTTAACTATGGAAGGATAATGTGATATTTAAAATTCTTTATAAGAGTAAAATAATGAATCAAAATTTTTTTATGCTAATGTATTACAATGGAAAATGCAGACTTATAAATCAAACAATCTAAATATCCTATTATATAATTTGTAATCAATAATAGACTACACTACAGTTTTTCTATAATGAATATTAGTTTTTTATTGCTCTTAAATTTTTGACGAATTACTTTTCTTGTGCACCTCAACCCTAAGGTATAAAACTTTTCACATGAAACTAATAATTTAGATTAATTTTATTTGTAATATCATAATAATGGTAAAACTTGTGGTATATAGGAATATATAAATAAAAAGTATCACAAACACTTATTAAATTATAAAAAATATTGAAGAGAATTTATTTTAAGTTATAATGATCATCTAACTATAAACAATTGGTTGAGCAAATTTAAGACGTTAAGTTGTAATAAGTAAATTAATGTAATGCTGAAAATTCATAACATTTGTAAGTGATACAAATAAAATGGGCTATAATATTGCCAATAAACACAACTAAATAGTGTGTATTATTAAAACTAAAACATAAAAAAAAAAAAAAAAATTAAAGTAAGAGTTTAATAATATTATCCAAGTTATATTAAAAAAATCTTATACTAAATAAGACACTCTAGTACTTTTATACAAATTCATTTGAAAATTCAGAATTTTGTCACAATCTTATGAAAATATATATATAAATAAAAATAAATTTAATTATTTTAATAATTAATTTTTGCCTTTTAAGAGAAAAAATATGAAATGCTTGGATATGTATAATATTAATATGAATTTCATATTAATAATGATAGTATTGTCTTTATTGTGAGATTAAAGTTGTCTGCTGAAAAGTTTAACATCAATCAAGTTCTATTAATATGAGTTCTATATTAAATAAAGTTAGTATTGTCTTTATATTTTATTTAAGGGGTAAAGTAGTCCATCAATTTTTTTTTTCATAGTATACTTTTATTAGTAGTATAGATATAGATAACGATATAGATTAATATCACTTTATACGTTATAATGTCAAATTTTTAGATGTTTCTTCAACCACGGTGGTTACATAAAATGTAAAATTGCATATTTTTCATTATTTCTTTATTTTTTGGCTATTTTGTTTTTTTCATTAGTGCACGTTGAGGACACAAAGACGTCTCTCTTGAAACCTTTGCCACATATGAGTGCTAGGCCTAATCTCTCACCCAAAGCAATTGTTTTTTTTTTCAAGAATTAAAATCACCATCGAACTTCAAATTCACATGGGTGCTCGTGCATAAGGACATCAACGATGCTTTTGTAAAAAATAATGTTATACAGATTTAATTTGAAAATATAATTATTAAATTAATTGTAAATTTTAAGATTGAGAGAAACCTATTTTTAATTTAATAATTATGATTAATTAAGTATCGAATCCCAAATTAAATAAAAATAATATTTTTCGTTTGTAATTTTGTCTTCGAGTTTTTGATGATCAGGAAAGCACCCTTACATTTACCAAGTGATAGTGATTATTACAAAAGGCATCATCAGACCGTGGAATAATCGAAGTGAACACACAAACACTCTCTCTCTCTCTCTCTCTCACACGAGCGAGGTAGCTTTCTATATATTCCATGGCGGCCACTACTAATTTGAAAGTTATCTTTTTTTATTCTTTTCCGCTTTGATATCAGGGAAATCTTTCTTTCTTTTTGATTCTGGAGAAAATCAAACTCCTTGCATCTTTTACAGTTTCATCAATCTATCCGAAGCCAGCCAAAATCCCATCTTAGAGAAAGAATCTCTCTCTCTCTCTGGAAAAGCTTTTGGGGTCCTTTCGTGAAAGAAATAAAGGACCCCACATGCAGCATAAACCCCTCGCAAACCATTCAAACCACTGAAAAATCTCAACCGGGTTTGGTATTTCTTCATCAAAATCTTTCTGGTTAAATCCAATAATTTATGCTTTTTGGACTTCGAACTTGCGTACACATTAAGCATATTCCATATTTCAACATTCTTTATGCATAGTTTGTGGAGGGATTCACATATAAAGATTTGGCAAATTTATTTTGTGTTTTTTAAGTGATCTTTTTGATAATATTTTTTTTGTTGGATTGAAAGAAATAAAGGGTACGATTGAGAATATTTTTATTCCTTCTCGATCATGTTGCTTTTGGGTTAATCTAATCGGCTTCTTTTCTGATCCGGGTCTTTTCTGCTTCCACCATTACTGCAGATTCTTGGCCTGTTTGATGTGAGTCAATCCTCCAATTCACCATTCCATTCCATTGGTTAAATCTGAAATCAGAGGCTGATTGTCATGAATATTACGGGCATATTAAGCTGGAAGAATCTTTTTTCTGGGAGTTTTCTTATATGAACTTGAGTGCTGATATATTTTTGATGATGTATGTGTCTGTGCTATATTGTATTACTCACTTGGAACTAACATAATTAGAGCAGTAGCACCATGATTGGTTTGTGTTTTCTTCTTTATGCTTTATTCTTTCTTTTCTGGGAGTTTTCTTATATGAACTTGAGTGCTGATATATTTTTGATGATGTATGTGTCTGTGCTATATTGAATTACTCTCTTGGAACTGACATAATTAGAGCAGTAGCACCATGATTGGTTTTTGTATCCTTCTTTATTCTTTTCTTTTTGTGTTATGGTTCGCTTAAGTTTTAAAAGGTGAATTTCTTCGTCTGCATCACAATTATGTCCAATTGGTGCATATGATGTTTGGTTGCCCCATTCCTGATATGCACTTTTACATGGATGGATTACATGAGGTTCCTTTATCTTTCCCTTCGTTTACCTCTTTAACTATACAGGTTTAACAAATTCCATATTAGGTGACTGGAACTATTTCGTTAGAACTGCAATATTAGTACAACTAGTGCTCTTAGCCTGTTAATTTTGTCAGAGGCTTATGCCATCTTCATCTCTTCTAGAGGGCTTTGATTAATATGCTTATTCGTTCACAGTGTCTCAGTTCTTCCAACTACTTGCATCCGTGACTGGGATATGTATTTGTTGTTCAACATCAAAAGTTACCATTTAGCTGTGGCATGAGTGTCCCGTAAATAATTTAAATGTGATGAAAATTAAAGACTTCTGATTTATTATGAAGAAAACGGGATGGAAATAGTTCATAATGTATTCTATAAAGGATGAGCATAGATATCTCAGGCTTTTGTACTTACTCATAGTATGTGCCTTGTCCCACTTTTATGAATGGTTTTTATGCAGGTAAAAGCTTCCTTGATGATGAACAGCTAACATTTTGCTGAATGGGTTGGCTTAGCAATTTTTTTAAAGGTTCAAGCCACGAAAATTCAGAAGGGCAATATGATTGGAGATATGGAGCTGAAACGATCAGGAATCATCCTTCTAATTCATTGGTAATATTTTCTTTTTTTTTTTGGAAGGCGGCCTTGAAGATCTATGGAGGGACTGTGATTTTTGTATCATATATAATATAGCCATGCCAAGTTAAAAAAAAAACATCTCTCTCTCTCTCTCTCTTGCTATTGCTGAAATGTTGGTTTATTTGATCTATACCAATCTGTTTTCTATGCTGTTCATCNCTTGCCATTGCTGAAATGTTGGTTTATTTGATCTATACCAATCTGTTTTCTATGCTGTTCATCCTTTGTTAACTACATCATTTCCGAACCTGGATGTAGGATGAATGGTCCGAGATTGAAGATATAGATCACGCAATTGCAATATCCGTTTTAGAGGATCAGAAAAGGGAAGAAGTGATTGGTGAGTTATATTATTATCTGGTCTCTTAATGAACAGAGCTTCAGATTCTTGTGGAGATTTCCCAGTTGTACAATACTCAACATGGACATTTATGTGAAACTATAACACATAGGAGCTTCCTCTTAAGCTGCCTGACGCAGATGAATTGGATGCCATTTATCACAGTTNGTGTGAAACTATAACACAGGAGCTTCCTCTTAAGCTGCCTGACGCAGATGAATTGGATGCCATTTATCACAGTTGTATGTGTTTGAAACACATTCAATATTTGTGCACATTGGTGACCTCTACAAATGTTTTTCACAAGTAAAGTTTTCAGTTCCTCGATGACAGCTCTTTTCCACATGGGAGTCTGTATTATGTTCCAAGGGTTGGGCTATTCAACCATTGAAGAATCTTGACTTCTTTCGACACTTGCATATTTTGATTCTATTGGGTGAGAGGTATGATGGAAACCCAGCCAGCGCCATACACGGTTTTCCAATTATAATATCTTCTACAGAGAACAAGTTGTTTAGGTTATTTGGCTTTCTCCATCCAGATTTTCCCCTAGAAGCTTTGGAACCTTTGGGATTGTCAATCTTATAGTTTCCTATATTATCTATGAGCCAGTAAAAAATTATCTGCAAAGTGAAGTGAATTGAGTTTTTTCATCTCTTCTAGTCTATGCTAGTTATTCAGTTCGCTACAAATTAATTTGATGAGTTTCTTAAATGATTTGATAGATAACGAGTACCAATTGGAAGAGGATGAGCAATTTGCCAGAGCTCTACAAGAAAGCTTGAATTTTGAGACTTCACCACCCCGACATGAAAATGAAAATGAAAGCGGAAGCGGAAGCGGAAATGGAAATGGACTCATTCTTCAGCCTATACCTTTCCCCTATTCAACAGGATTCAGGTATATGAGTTTCTTTATATCAGTTGTAGCTTTTGTCTTACTATTCGTAGGAATCTCTTTATGCAGACCTTGGTTTATATGAATATCATATTTAATGACAAATAATGGTATTTGAAGTTCGCCGCAGCCTCATGCTTGTGTGTGCTGGGCATTTAGAATATGAAACTCAATGTATCATGGTTTGTGAGTTCCTGACAACCAAAATATGATCGGAAAATGGTAATGGTTCCCAAAGCAGACTGTTTAATTAGTTATTAACTTTGAAGTTTAGCCTCATTTATTGCCTATCAGATTAATAGCTTATGGAATCTGCCAACTGCTTGTTTAATTGCTGTTTGAATCACTAGCATGTCAGTTGGTGGGTGTGTAGCTTGAACAATGGTTTTCAGGGTCAGTGGTAATGTATTTCCATTGTCTTGGAATGATGTTTGTGGCAAATCAGTTATAGGTTTCACTCTTGGTAACTTCAACAGGTTTGTTGGATCATGTTCTGATTCTAATTTGCATATCTTAGTTGTGAACATTAGGTCCTATCTATAGGTTGTTCAATGGTATACTCTTTGTGACAAGGTTTATATACTCTTGACGGGTTTCTCCGATGAAATGATGCTTATACTTGTCAAGATGCATCTAATGTTAGAGTTATCCAGCATTCGTTGCAAGAACACATAGCCATATGGATGAGGTTTATTTTTAGCTTCTATGACTTGATTTCATTCCGAGATCCAATTTTGAGAGACTTAAGGAAGACAAAACGATTAAGGATTCTTTTTCCTGCTTTGGACATTTTTTTTCTGGATTTGACTGTTTAGATCCATATGGGGACGAAATAATATATTCTTGATTGAAAATTTTAAATAGTATTTCAATAAAGTTGAATGCACAAAAGGCATCTGTGTGTGTGTGAGAGAGAGAGAGAGAGAGAGAGAGAGAGAGAGAGAGAGAGAAAGAGAGAGTTTGTAATATATGGGAGCCATAAAATACCATGAATCGGCCATCCTAAAAACTTTTTTGCAGCACCTATTATCAGGGCCAGCGCTATGGCTAGGCAATCAAAGCCGTCGCCTAGGGCCCCATATTTTTTAGGCCTTCAATATTTTTAAAATTTTTTTAGATTTACTTAACTTTGAATTATTTTAAAAATTTTAGATTCAAGTTTAATTAGGTCTAAATTTGTTTTTAAGGTCCCAAATAAAACTTTTAGATCAATGTTCAACTAAATCAATTTTTTCTTTCGGGCCTCTAATTTTTTTTATAAACGCCGGTTCAATGAAGTCAAATTTTACTTTTTCGAGTTTTATACTAATATGAGATTCATTATATTAACCATAATACTATTCATGTCTTGGAACCTACCCTGTATAACAAAATTATGTAGTTGCTTTTTCATATATTATTTCCAATTATTTTGATTAACTTGAAAAGTATGTATTTTTATTTTTCTTTTTCGAATTTGATGGCTTTTTGATAAGTTAAATTTATTTAAATTTAAATTGAGTTTGCTAATAGCTTCTTTTGGTTGCCCTGACAGCCTAAACATTAATAAAATGTCTAAGATTGAACTTCAAATCTATTCTCTTACTATTTTATTGACTATTAGTCTTTGAATGAATTTTATAAATCTAAATAATATGCTAAAGAATTTGAATATATAAATTTAAATAATAAGTTGGCATCTCAAATAACAATAAATTTATTTTTAAATAAAAATTAAAAAAATTATATATTATCATAAAAATCATAATTAATGGAGCCTCATCCAAAAATTTCACCTATAGCCTCTGTTTGGCTCGGGCCGGCCCTGCCTATTATGCTAGGGATTGTAGATGTTTGTTAATACTATTNGCATCTCAAATAACAATAAATTTATTTTTAAATAAAAATTAAAAAAATTATATATTATCATAAAAATCATAATTAATGGGGCCTCATCCAAAAATTTCACCTATAGCCTCTGTTTGGCTCGGGCCGGCCCTGCCTATTATGCTAGGGATTGTAGATGTTTGTTAATACTATTCTTTGGTGGAATACTGGAAGTGTTGCAACTCCTAGCCCCAGTTGGTACATTGATGTCCTTTGATATCCAAGTGTTGAATGAGAACCAATAGTGTTTATATGCTTGTGTTTGTAGGAATTTTTTTTGATCGGTAAAAAGTACTCTATAGATAAAATTTATAGGATATTACAATGAAGCTCAAAGCATGCCCGAAGGGCTACATTGCATGGTGCAATCTGGCAGAGCATTTTAAACCTGTGTAACNATTTTTTTTGATCGGTAAAAAGTACTCTATAGATAAAATTTATAGGATATTACAATGAAGCTCAAAGCAAGCCCGAAGGGCTACATTGCATGGTGCAATCTGGCAGAGCATTTTAAACCTGTGTAACNCAATTCTTGATTGAAAATTTTAAATAGTATTTCAATAAAGTTGAATGCACAAAAGGCATCTGTGTGTGTGTGTGAGAGAGAGAGAGAGAAAGAGAGAGTTTGTAATATATGGGAGCCACAAAATACCATGAATCGGCCATCCTAAAAACTTTTTGCCAGCACCTATTATCAGGGCCAGCGCTATGGCTAGGCAATCAAAGCCGTCGCCTAGGGNACACTTCTAATCTACAAATAGAAAGATCTCTCATGAGAGACTAGGAACCCAGTAAAATTGATCCAGCATACAGATAAGGAATTCAGACCTTGGGTCAAGAATTTCTCTGCAGATTCCTCTTGGTATAACAATGCACTGTCCACCAAGACAAAATCCAGTTCAATCAGTTCTGGTTGCTTGAGCAGTCAGGGTGGGCACCCTAAACAAAGGCTGGGAATCATACCCATTGGTAAGGTGTTTCAGGAAAAAGGGTTCAGGCATTAACTCTGTAGCCTTGGAAAAGGGAGGAGGTTTCTCTTTTATGCATTGATAACTGTAGACACCAAAAACTACCGATCCAAAAATATAAGAGCAGGTCTTTTTTTTTTTTTTTCTGTTTTCCTAAACAGTTGAACTTTTGGGACTTCCATGTATCAAAGAGAAGATGTCCATACAATACTTTATCTTATAGTTTCATTTCACTTTTTTGGTAGGATATGTGCAGGTTGTAACTCTGGTATCGGTCATGGACGATTTTTAAGTTGCATGGGTGCAGTTTGGCATCCAGAATGTTTCCGATGCCATGCTTGCAACCAACCTATATCTGATTACGAGGTACAAAGGCTATATCTAATATAGGGTGCTAAGCTGTGCTGACTTTTAGCTGATTCTTATCTTGCGCATTCTATTCCTCCAGCTCACTAGGAGTAGTTTCAAGCCCATTCAGTAAGAAGATCTAATTAACTTCTGTCATCATGGATCATCCACAGTTAATTTATTCCACTCACTCTTCCAATTCATTTTACCTTTGTTTACATATCTAATACATTAGACAAGGAATGATGGGATAAAATGAAAATAATTAAAGCTCTGACTTTTGATGATGGACAGCTGTTGTGGAACCAATAACTAAAACACTCTTAGTGGGATGGAGGGTGTATTACTGCTTTACTGTAAGAGATGCATCATTTTATACTTATTAATTTTGCACATCTTTTTTTTTTCCCCTTGTAGTTCTCTATGTCTGGAAACTATCCTTATCACAAATCTTGCTACAAGGTGTATTATCTCCCAAAATGTGACGTTTGCAAGCACTTTGTAAGTATATCTCTTGTATGAGGAAAATGTCTCCTGACTTAATCATGGACAAGGTGGTCCGGTTTTCACTTTTGTACATGAATGATAAACGTGATCTCAAACTTCATTGTTGTCAACTTATATCCTCAATGAAGTTGTGTAACGTTTGAATTCTGAGGAGTTTTTCTACCTTGTAATAATGAACAATGGGTGCTCGTATGATTTTCCTTATGGCAACTAAATACTGAGTGTTCATTGACTCGTACTCAAACATACAGTTCATAGTATATACTGGTGCATTTAAACATGATATTGTAGCTTGTGATGTATTAATATGGTTATTTTGGAAGACCAAAGAGTTATGCATGAGTAGTGCTTCAATGTGGTGGTCTCTATCGGGGGGCGGAGGTAGAAAAAAAATTTAGGGTGGGCAGTATGTTTTAATTTTTTTTTAATTGACCATAAAAATTCATAGATTCATATTTATTAAAATTATATTTAATGCTTAAAAGTTCAATAAATATGGAAGATTAAAAACCTATATACATAACATGAACAAAAATAAAATAAAATTATAACTTCTTATCAAAAATGCAACTAATTATTATCACTTAGAATTGACACTGATATGTTTTTATTATTTGAAAAAATTACAAATCAATTTTATCAACAATATTTCTTTTATATATAAAATTATAGTAACAATCTTTAATATATAATTCTATAGTTTACCACATAACGACACACATTTTTATTTATTAACGAAATAACCCTAAATTTTAAAAAAATATATAAAATAATCTCAATATGTTCAAAAAATATTCAAACATGTCTTAAGTATTTCTAAAAGCTAATAATAATATTAGTTCCATCTAATTTGAGATTAATTGGTGAAGACACAATGACTTGTGACCATTGAATAGATAGTAGAGTTTATTAAATATTAAGAATCACTATTAAACTTAATATCATAATGTTAGGTCTTAATAACATTGTTCAAAAAGTTAACTATATCTAAATTTTATTTCAAAAAATACATGTTTAATAAGAAGGAAAAAAAAAATTGAGGGGGGGCATGTGCCCACCCTAGCCCAAGGGTGGCTCCGCCCTTGTATCCATCTGGGCACTTCTACAATGTATAGATCTCTCTTAGAACTGACCACATTCTTGTATTTATTCTATGTTGTATTATGAACTTGTTTACAATGCTGTGGGTTCAAAGCAGCACAGATTGAATTTCTACTTTTCTGAGATAATATACTTTTTTTAGATACATGCTATTCTACTTCTCTTGTTTCCTCTTGACTTTTAGCTCATTGTCAGTGGTTGTTAGTTCTTTCAAACAAATGTAAATTGTGTCACAGATTCCAACAAATGCAGCTGGTCTTATTGAATATAGGGCACATCGTTTTTGGTCCCAGAAATACTGCCCTTTTCATGAGCATGATGGAACTCCTCGGTGCTGCAGCTGTGAGCGGATGGAGGTCTGTCTGAATAAACTACATTGAATCTCCTGAGCAAACTCTTCATACTTTCCGGTTATATCTGGCTGCTCATGTTGATTGTTAATTGTTCATTAATATTGGTCTTGTGTTGATCACTTGCAGCCACAGGACACAGGGTATGTTGCCCTTGATGATGGTCGGAAGCTCTGTCTGGAGTGCCTGGACTCAGCAATCATGGATACCAATGAGTGTCAACCCCTTTATCTTGATATACAAGAATTTTACGAAGGTTTAAATATGAAAGTCAAACAGCAAGTTCCATTACTCTTGGTGGAGAGGCAAGCATTAAATGAAGCCATGGATGGAGAGAGGAATGTAAGTCGAAAGGTGTTGAAACATAATACTGGCCATTTACTATTTTTGTTGTACTTGTATCAGAGTGTGCTCCTCTAAGAAAAGGGTTATAGTTGGGTCCTTTTTTGGCCAGGGCCATCATCACATGCCTGAAACCAGAGGCCTTTGTCTTTCGGAGGAACAAACTGTCAGCACTGTAAGGACTTTTCTTGTGGTTTTTGTTTCTTTTTTTACCTTGTCAGTAATAGAATTGGACCTTGCTTACAGTTTACCCTTTAAATTAACAGATTTTGAGGCGGCCAAGGATAGGGGCTGGAAATCGAGTCGTAGGCATGAGAACAGAGCCGTATAAGCTGACGCGGCGGTGTGAGGTGACTGCAATTCTCATTTTATATGGCCTTCCTAGGTATTGTTTCACTTCTTCTCTTTGTACTGTTAACTTTTAACTGAAGAATATTTTTTCCCTTTCTTTTTGATAAAATAGTACGGTGAGAGGAGATTTATGCAGCACCCATAAGAAATTTTTAAAAAGATTTTGCGCAAAACAAGATCAATGCCAATTGCATGTATGGTATTAACATATATAACTGAAGTTTTTGTACCAGTCACAATAGATTGAGTTGGTTTATGGTACAAATTCTCACCAATTTATCTATTATAATTCGTTGACTTGGTGTAACAATTTTTAGTCAAGTGTGTAACATCCTTCAATACTAAGTCAAATGTCTTTGAATGGAATACACTTACATAGGTGATATTTTTGTTTATTTTTTTTCATGAAAGACATACACAGAATCAAACACACAAATTTTCACTACTTACATAGGTGATATGGTTGAAGGAATTAGTAGAGAGATAAATAAGAAGTTAGACATTCTTATCAGTCCTTAAAAGTTTTAAATTCTCATAACAAAACCTGCTCAGGTTCAAAAGCCTGAAACGACAGAATAACGGGGAGAGCAAATGCTTCTAAGCACAAAAATATTTGCTGTAAAACATCCTATTGCTTAGTTTCGAAATTCTTTATATAGGTAAAACCAGAGAATCATATAGTGTGCATGTATGAGTGAGGTAGAGCGTGGATGGTATAACTTTAATGAGATCACTATAGGAAAACAATGACATAANCGAAATTCTTTATATAGGTAAAACCAGAGAATCATATAGTGTGCATGTATGAGTGGGGTAGAGCGTGGATGGTATAACTTTAATGAGATCACTATAGGAAAACAATGACATAAAAAGAAAATAAGACATTGCTATATATGTGATTTTTCAATAAGGATCAAGATATCATTGCACTTTAAAAAACATCTTGAATTGTATGTTCACTCTACTGTTCACCTTCCAACTGGAAGGTGTTGACCAATATTACTTGACTAAATGCAAAGAATAGAGGCTAATAAAATCGATTGGTCTATATGTTGTTCCAAAAAAATTCTTATCATTTGATGGAGTTCTAGAGCACTATGAAATGTGGACATATACCCGGGAGAAATTCGAAGTTATATTTGACTAATCAGACATGGAACTGCTAACACAACAAAGCATAAAAATGTACTAGACAAATGGCAAGGAAAGTGTGTTACGCGATTATCAAGAATATACAGGAATTTCTGTTGCTATTATGTCAAAATATGAGGGAAGATTTCCATTTGGGAATTTGGGGCAAAAATTTGTTTGTTTATCAACTTAGCTATTCCAGACTTTCTGTTTAAATTTAGCAAGTGTCAAGCTTATGAAGAGGTCCCAAGTTATGTATGCACAAGAAGTTTAGATCAACTTACAGAAAGGATCCCGAGAGCACGCCTTCTCTAATTTTGTTTGATCTGTTATATTACGGTGGCAGAAGTTGTTNCTATGAAGAGGTCCCAAGTTATGTATGCACAAGAAGTTTAGATCAACTTACAGAAAGGATCCCAAGAGCACGCCTTCTCTAATTTTGTTTGATCTGTTATATTACGGTGGCAGAAGTTGTTAGATTGAACCTCAGTTCCAACGTGTGACTGAAGAAACCTCTGTATACAGGTTGCTGACTGGATCAATCCTGGCTCATGAGATGATGCATGCCTGGCTGCGTCTTACAGGTGCTCCTCCATTTTCTGTCACATCTTCACGGGGCATTACAGAAGCCAGATGGAATGATATTACCTTACTCACTTTTCACACCGTTAAAAATAGCTAAATTGTCTTCTCAACAGTTGGCTTTTAATGAAGTCACATCAATTTTTCAAAAATGATCAACTTCGTATTATCTTATATATAAATGTGATGGCTTTATTTCGCATGAGAACTCTACTGGTTGAAAGATGAACTTGTTCATTAAGGCAATAAATACAATTTATTCAACTTACAAGATTTTTGTAATTTTTCAAAATGCTGATATATTTACCATATGTTTGTAAGGTTATCGAACATTGAGCCTAGATGTTGAAGAAGGTATCTGTCAGGTGCTAGCTCACATGTGGTTAGAATCCCAGATAATGTCTTTATCGGGGAGTAACGTTCCATCAACCTCATCATCCTCTTATGCTTTCACATCATCAACACACAGTGCAAGATCTCCATTTGACAGGAAGCTGGGGGAGTTTTTCAAGCACCAAATCGAAACAGATATTTCACCGGTGTATGGAAACGGATTCAGAGCTGGTAAACATGCAACACTTAAGTATGGACTTGAAATGACCTTGGACCATATTCGGATGACCGGGACATTCCCTTATTGAAGTACTGTGAACTGCGTTTTCATAATTCATTCCAATTCATCTCCAGGGCAAAGATTGGGTTTTCCTTGTTTATCATCTTAGGCTGACCTGCAGAAGTTACATCTCAATAGAGTGATTATTAGAAAAACTCTCATTTTTATAAGTTGTAGATGTCATCCCTTTTATGTACTGTTTTAATAATATATTAAAACTATTGCTTATGTTTGTCCTCACCATTGACAGTCTTCGACTATCTCTTTCATTAGCTTTATTATGCAAATTTCTATGGCTCAGCCATTGGAGCATGGGCCTTGAGCTGAAATGTAAGTAGTTTAGATATGACTGCTCAGCTTCTTTACAACCCAGTTGATATATTCTTGAGTAAATCTTCATTTCCTCCATGATCTGTAATGCATCCGATTGTGAAAGCCGTTTTTTAACTAACAGCATATTATTTTCAGGTTGATTTTAGGAATAGAAGACATGGAACTGAAAGGAAGCTGGTGGTAGTAGTTATTTGACAACAATTTAGAGTTTAATAAGAAGTAATTCAAGCACGTGTCTGAGCGATGTCCCTTGTCAAAACCTTTGAAGTACACCTACATATGTTGATACATTGGTCGAACACAGGACAAGTTGTAAACATGCATGTTCTGAGTTCAAATCTCTTATAATGTAAAAATTCAGGTTTATCCAATTTACGTGGTTAGTGAGTGATTATAAAATTAAGGTTTTCAATCTATCCCACTTCCTATTGGTTGAAAGTCCTCATTGTGTCCAGGGATGCGGTAATGCATCGCTCTCTATTTTGCGTCATTCATCTTCTGAGAATTGAGAAAGCTAATGGGCATTTGGCTTTGGAAATTTGAAGCATGGGGCACAACTCCTAGAATCAGTGACAAGATTTGGGCCAGTCATCTTCATTCACCAGGTAACTAGTCCCTTGTTTTATTGAATTTCTTACATTTCCCCTTTTAATTTCTGTTTTGTCTTTATTTTTCTTGGTAGCGATGAGGGGATTCGGTTTTCTTGATCTGCAATATGAATATTATAGCTTATTTAATGAACATAACATTAACAATCATTACATAGAATCTTCTTCCTAAATGATCCCTTGACTACTTTCTTGGCACCAACTTTAGAACCCGAGCATTATGCATGTGTTAATTTATATATACCGAAATTATTTTTTGGTGATTAGTTACAATAACCATTGTAGGTTTTGAACAATAGAAGTACTCAAAAGATAAGAATCTTTGTTTATGAAGACTTCACTTTTGTTTATATTATAATTTTGGTGTTTAGTTTTCTCCGAATCGAAATATATGATCACCAATAAAATTCGCGATTAAAGTCTTACCCGCTAATCACAAATATGTCAATAATTGTGTCTGTTGATTTCTTATGTAAAATGCAAAAAGGGCAATCTTCTAATAAATAGATTTGATGCGTAGCTAATGTCGAAGCATCTTCAAAACACTTCAAAAAAATATTTCATAAAATTGTTTGTTCAAAAGACTTGGATCGAGCATGTCATGAATAAACATTTTATGACTTGGATTGAACATGTTATGAATAAATATTTTATGCTATATGATCAATTCATATTTCTTGGTCCATAACATAATTGTAAAACAAGCGAGAATATGAAAGACATGAAATTGTTCAAGTTTCAATTGGTGGCGGATATACGCTTTATAGATTTATCTTAATTTTAATTAAGATCATATCTATTTCTTATTCTTACAAAATAATCAAATAAATATATTAACAAATATATACTTATGAATCAAAATATAATTTAATAAAACTTATATGAAATGATGTATTCTAGAATTGTTTTATTGAGTACATAATTTAATTATTGTTGCACCAAAAACTTAGTTCTCTTAAGTTTTAACGTATAAATTTATACAATGTTTGATTTCTAAATTAATGTGGCCGAACTTAAGTTTGATATTTTGAGTAATGGATGGCACAAATTTCATCATTGTAGATACAATAATCTTATGTGCTTTCAACAAATAGTACTATTGTAGTTTATGTTACTTGAAACCAGTTACTCAAAATTAAATATAAAAAAATTGTCAAANATATTGTAGTTTATGTTACTTGAAACCAGTTACTCAAAATTAAATATAAAAAAATTGTCAAATAAAAATAAGAATAAATAAAAATGTGAGAATAAATAAAGAAACATAAAAATTGTACGTCTAAAAGAATCTGAGTTATGGAACTCTAAGGGTTCTATAAGAGTTATGTCTCTTTAATTGATAGTAACACGCAAGAGAGACTTCTGCCCAGTGAAAAGTTGCAACAAAATGATATTATTTGATTTTTAGCATGTTTTAATGACATTCAATTAAAAGTTTTGTACAAGTATTGACGTGTAGAAATAGTATAGATAGATAATATAATATAAGCAATGTTATGTCTACCAAATCTTGCATCAAATCACTTGCAACGTTGGATCAGTGGGTTCTATTACTGATCTAACGATTGCAGTTAATTTGGTGCAATATTGAATGGAGATTAAATGATGCAATATGACAAGATTGGTAGTAAAAAAATTAAATAGGGTTATAAGTAGTATAGATATAGATGTTTATGAATGTAATTATTTTTAAAAGATCATGGAATATGAGAGGTTTGTGTATTTAATTTAAGAAGTTAAAAGGGTACGAAGGATATAATGAACTTNGACCATTGTAGGTTTTGAACAATAGAAGTACTCAAAAGATAAGAATCTTTGTTTTTGAAGACTTCACTTTTGTTTATATTATAATTTTGGTGTTTAGTTTTCTCCGAATCGANAACCATTGTAGGTTTTGAACAATAGAAGTACTCAAAAGATAAGAATCTTTGTTTATGAAGACTTCACTTTTGTTTATATTATAATTTTGGTGTTTAGTTTTCTCCGAATCGANTTTTTAAAAGATCATGGAATATGAGAGGTTTGTGTATTTAATTTAAGAAGTTAAAAGGGTACGAAGGATATAATGAACTTTATTATATTAATTGAGGATAAAAAAGAAAATTAAAAGTTTTTTATTGTTAGTCACTTTTATAAATAGTATAGATATAGATATAGATATGATTTATACAACAAAGTGATACATGGAGTTAGCTTTCTGGCTATAGTTCTGTTCACCNTTCTTATGTAAAATGCAAAAAGGGCAATCTTCTAATAAATAGATCTGATGCGTAGCTAATGTCGAAGCATCTTCAAAACACTTCAAAAAAATATTTCATAAAATTGTTTGTTCAAAAGACTTGGATTGAGCATGCCATGAATAAACATTTTATGACTTGGATCGAACATGTTATGAATAAATATTTTATGCTATATGATCAATTCATATTTCTTGGNGACACGAAGATTATGACTTCTGCAAATTGACTTGAAATTTCAACAAAGTCGACACTACCTCGTCCATGCTTGGTCTTCCCACCGGATCTCGAGTTAAGCAGGGGAGACTCAACTTTATCATCTGCAATTCATTTTCCACCCCCACCATTTTGTGCAAGGCTTGAATCAATAAAATGTTGGTTAACCAGGGTCAAAAAAAATACCACAACCAAGATATAAACAAAGAGAAAATCTCTATTTTACTTTNCATGAATAAACATTTTATGACTTGGATTGAACATGTTATGAATAAATATTTTATGCTATATGATCAATTCATATTTCTTGGTCCANACCAGGGTCAAAAAAAATACCACAACCAAGATATAAACAAAGAGAAAATCTCTATTTTACTTTGGAAATAAAATACAAAAATTCTCACTGAAGTTTCTCCTGAATCTCTCTCTCTCTCTCTCTCTTTCTCTCTCTCTGTTTCTTCCTCACTGATCTTGTGCATATCTACCCTTCATTAAACTTCCTATTTATAGAGAGTTTTCTAGCCAAATAAGTCAAGGAAGAGGGAACACAATTAAATATTTTTGGCAAACTTTGTCAANCACGCTTTATAGATTTATCTTAATTTTAATTAAGATCATATATATTTCTTATTCTCACAAAATAATCAAATAAATATATTAACAAATATATACTTATGAATCAAAATATAATTTAATAAAACTTATATGTAATGATGTATTCTAGAATTGTTTTATCGAGTATATAATTTAATTATTGTTGTATCAAAAACTCAGTTCTCTTAAGTTTTAATGTATAAAATTATACAATGTTTGATTTCTAAATTAATGTGGCCGAACTTAAGTTTGATATTTTGAGTAATGGATGGCACAAATTTCATCATTGTAGATACAATAATCTTATGTGCTTTCAACAAATAGTACTATTGTAGTTTATGTTACTTGAAACCAGTTACTCAAAATTAAATATAAAAAAAATTGTCAAATAAAAATAAGAATAAATAAAAAAGTGAGAATAAATAAAGAAGCNATAATATAAGCAATGTTATGTCTACCAAATCTTGCATCAAATCACTTGCAACGTTGGATCAGTGGGTTCTATTACTGATCTAACGATTGCAGTTAATTTGGTGCAATATTGAATGGAGATTAAATGATGCAATATGACAAGATTGGTAGTAAAAAAATTAAATAGGGTTATAAGTAGTATAGATATAGATGTTTATGAATGTAATTATTTTTAAAAGATCATGGAATATGAGAGGTTTGTGTATTTAATTTAAGAAGTTAAAAGGGTACGAAGGATATAATGAACTTTATTATATTAATTGAGGATAAAAAAGAAAATTAAAAGTTTTTTATTGTTAGTCACTTTTATAAATAGTATAGATATAGATATAGATATGATTTATACAACAAAGTGATACATGGAGTTAGCTTTCTGGCTATAGTTCTGTTCACCCCTTTTGAGATGTGGTCAGTTGAACTAATAAGGTCTATCTTTTATCTTCTTCAATCATGCTGTACAATAAACTCATTAACAATAATCATATCAGAACTTGACACGAAGATTATGACTTCTGCAAATTGACTTGAAATTTCAACAGAGTCGACACTACCTCGTCCATGATTGGTCT